TCGAAATGACTTTGTACTGCTATGAGGAAACCACAAAAGCATCAGGTCCTTGTTTGGTTCCTAGTTCCTGAAGTTGTAGCAATTCATCTTTCCCTGAAATCTGTTAACGCTTGCAATAATCCAAGTAGGTCGGGTTCCCTATCTGGTTCTTAGCCATAAGTTTGTTAGATCATCAAAACATCATGCAAGAGCATTTAAGATCTATCACAAGCTCTCCACTCAAAGAGAATATTTCCAAAGTGAAGGTATATGTATAGAAATACGTAAAACTCTTAGGTAAGGTTACCCGCTCAGCCAGGTCAGGAGCAATAATATATAAGCCCTGGCAATGACGGTCTTCCGTCACAGTATGGATGCAGGAAGGGCGGATGGAAGAAGGATATTTGCTAACGGCCCATGTACGAGAGTTAACAGAAGGAAATTTCTCTTCAAAGACTTTTGTTATAACAAGACTTTTACGGATGCTGGTATTCACTGTTGGAGGAGTAGCATCCTCGGCTTTGTTCTTGTTCTTAGAGGAATAAGCCTTTATACGTTATAGAAGAAGGACAAGATTTTTTCATTTGAAGAGAGTTAAATGAAAATTGAAGAACGGAATACCAGTAGAATGAAGGAAGCATGAGAGAGTTTGGAGAATTAAGGAGTATGAATGAAGGAAGTTGATATGTTTAAGTAAAAGTTTAGGTGGCTAAGTTCGTGGTCATGATTACCTCGATAACTGGCAAAAGTTATGCTGAATTGTGGGATGATGCGTGTTCGGGGCATTAAATGTGAAGAGAAGTGCAGCTAATCAACCGTTAGAAGCTTTTCAGAGGGCATCAGAGTAATTCCCGCCAAAAAGATGTTTCTACCAACTTTCCGGTTACTCAAAGTTTTGCCATCCGAAAATAGGGGGACTATCTATATAAGGTAAAATATGTTCATATTAAATGATTGTGTGAGAAAGCGACACGTGGAGCCGAAGACAGAAAATAGTCAGAACCGTAGGCAACGATCTCATTTGTTACCGGAGAGAACAATATTCATAAAGGCGAAATAAATGTCTGTCACTCGGTAGCATTCAATGAAGAATATTCTGTAGCATTAAGTGCACGATCCGTTACAGAGAATATGGCATTCACTGCCTTTCGTTATACATTCTTCAATGGTTTTCATAATTGTCATTTAAGAAGAGCTTGATCCTAGGATCGTGTTCCCTAGGTACAAGTATAAGTAGTGAGCTCCACCATCATTGTAAGGTATACGAATTTTTTGAAAAACTCATACTATAATCAATCCAAAGCTCTATATATTTTTATATTCTTATTACTTGATTCGATTCTTGTTGTGCATGGAAGTCTTGTTCCCGGAATCCTTATTTTTGTTATCTTATCTTCATTCCAAGGCTAAGTATTGTATTTTTCTTCAATTATTTTATTATTTAAGAATCAAATTAATTCACTTGTCTAGAAACTACGTATAAATTCAACTATACCATTTTACGGGTAAACACCTTTATCTAAACAAGCATGGACAATAAACTCGCATTAGAAAGGATATGTAGTTGTTGTGGTTAACCAAATTATTCAAATTAGTGGAACGACGTAATTACTTTCATCCCTTTTATTTCTCTATTATTTTATATTTAAGGAATTTTTACCTACTATAGCAAAGGTTAACGCCTTATTTATTTTAAATAAATACCATTTAAAAAAATTATATTCTATAGATACATTTTAAGGTTTATAGCAAAATATTTAATTTTGGTTACCTCCTAGCCCTAAGCCACTAATTACACTATTCAGTTACACTATTTTCTTTCTCTCTCTACTTTGATATATCACATTCTCTTCCCCATCCCATTAAAATTTCCACTCTCCTCCTCCTTCTAACGGCATCTTCTCAACTGAAAAAATCCAACAACTTGAGTGACAACAGTGTGTGGAATCCATCCACTAAAATGTTCTGGAAACTGCCGGTTTGTCTCGTTAACCCTCCACAGAATCATGGACTGAGATAGGTTGCAGGGTTGAGCCAAATTTATGGCGGTTTTGGGTATGATACTTCTGCTAATGATTATAAAGTCGTTAAAATAGCCCAATTTTATCACTTCTCTGGTAGTTTCTTAGTTACTGTTACAATGGTTTATAGTTTGAAGTTGGGTTTGTGGAAGAAGAAGGTTCAGGATTGTCCATACTAATTGGTTAAGGAAGACACGACTCGTTTGCAAGTTGAGAGGTTGTTCATTATCGATATCAGAAAGCAGTTTCCACAGATCTTTGAGCAAATTCTGATATGTCTACCGAAGAAGAAGCCGTCTGACGCTTTCGGCACTCGCCGACTATCGGAAGAAGCTCTATTTGGCTACAAGGCAGAAACTAGGGTTTGTTCTTGAGCAAAGACGACGAAGTTTGGGGCTGAGCAACTTGATTTTTTGTTAATATATTTCAATGTATTTTCAACGTATCACGCTGTTTTTTCATGTATTTCATTGTATTCATTGTCTTTTTTTCCATTATAATTCAATGTATCACACTTTATTCCGTGTATTTCATTGTATTCACTGTCTTTTTTTCATTGTTTTTCAATATATCCCGTTGTATTCTATGTATTTCATTGTATTCACTGTCTCACTATATGCCATGAATCTATTCATATGTTTTTTTTAATTAATATAATTTATGTATTATATAATTTCTCTGAAGATTGCTATGTTTTGGGGGTATTTTTCAGTTGAGAATCTTTTTTATAACCGAAAATACAAATTTTGTGTGTTATAATTGAGTTTGTTGAGTTATATTAGGAGTCTATTATGTTAATTGATACACTTTCCGTTTAAAAACAGTGCAATCCCTTGTTTCACGCCGTGAATACAGTCAAATACAGTCAAATACAGTAATATGTCCAGCTATAATCCCATGTTTCATGCGATGAATACAGTTGAATATAGGGTTGTGCATTTGGATCGGATATCCGAAATCCGATCCGATCCACTCTATTTCGGATTTTCGGATTTCAAATTTCGGATTTTCGGATTGGATACGGATTGTGTTTTATGAAATTTCGGATTTTCGGATTGGATTCGGATTGGTATGATTTTAATCCGATCCGATCCGATATCCGAAATTATATGTACCTATATAAATACACACTAAAATTTTAGGGCTATGCTTATTCATTTTTCACACACCCCCTCACTCACTTAGATTTTTCCGCCTCTCTTGCACCTCTCTTCTCTTTAGCGAAGACTAAAAGAGTCTCAATGACTCAAACTTCCGATTTTACTTTGATTTTATGTCTCTTTCTCCCGCCTCTCTTCTCTTCTCTTTTGTCTTTTATGTCTATTTCATGTTCTATTCTTCAACTTTTGATTTTATTTTGATTTTTTTGTTTGTTTTGGTAGATGGAAGATGAGATAGAGACACCGAATGAACTTTAAATTGTTGAAAATTTTTGTGACAATCCGATCCGACAATCCGAAAAATTATCCGATCCAAAGTTTAAAATCCGATCCAATCCAATGTTAATTCGGATCGGATTCGGATTGCCCTTTTCAGAATCCGAAATCCGAAATCCGAATCCGAAATAGGCTAAATCCGATCCAATCCGATCCGTGCACAGCCCTAGTTGAATACACTCGAATACAACTGATTAGCTGGACTTCTCTGATTCACGCCTATTTTTGCTACTGTACTCATGAATACAATAGCTTAAACTCATGAATACAGTAGCTTAAATATGTCATATATATTTTATAACCACACAAATGTATCTATAATCCGTAATATAGCAAATAGTATCTATAGATGGCTGATTACTACTAAAAGATAGTACTTTATACAAATTTAATCATTGATAACGGCGAATCTGTAACGGTGACGGATATGAGCTGGACAGAAAAAAGGCAGGTAGAGCGAAAACGTGTTTCGGTTGACAAGATTATTGGACGGACTTGCCCAAATTATAGAAAGCCCTAACTAGCTCTGCCGTCTTTTTCTTTTCTCTATAATCCTATTTTTATTTAATACTCCAATAAATACTACAGCTCTCCCACTATTCTTTTTCTCTTCCTACTACGTGACCAACGGGACAACTCAGTCAACCGAATATCTCTTTTATTCTCTAATTTGGACATCATATTTCCTACTTATTACGATTCTTGCCCCTACCTAACCTTATCAAACTTCACACCTTTCCCTTTCTTTTTCCTTGGGATATTGTCTTGTATTGCTTCCAATCAATTTTATGTTCTAGTTAAGGAATGATCGATACCTTGCTTTTAGTCATCTTCTAAGAAAATGGTTATTTTTCATAACTTTTAATCGATTAAAGATTTATACTCTAAAATGATAAGTATTCAAAAACTTTAGTAATAAGTTTGACTATTTACATTGTCTATTAACCTATTCTAACGTTATTCTATCAGGTCTACCTGCCCCCACAATCATGTATAATCCAAGGTAATAAGAAAAGAACTTTTTCTAATTTTTGAAGAGAGGAAAAAATAAAATAAAAATAAATTTTCTACCATTAGAAATTTTCAACATGATTTTAAATGGTTGACTAAGACAATTTCAGAATTAGCAAATTCTAATAAATAAGTATTTACACATTGAGCGTCTACAATTAAATTAAGTTACACCAGTATTAAGACTAAGGAGTGCTATGCACATAAGCAAAAGACCATATTGCATTCTAATCATTTTGGTTCATAAGATAAACCTCACATTATTTCAACTATTTTATGCTAAGTTGTAGTAATTTATTGACAATTGTCAAACTAAAACCGTGATTGGAATTTTCTCAATATTTGATAGCTACCTCACCATTTAATTATGTCCAATATGTATAATGCCGGCTTTTAAAACATTAAAATAAATCTCCCTTTAAATTTTCCGCGTTGAAATAAAAAGTTAGTGGACACCCAATAAATCAAACTCTCCTAATCCTTCCTGGCAATTTGGTAATAAAGTCGAGTATCAAGGCTAAATAGAAAGCCACCTCTACTTATAATACAACTGGCCTTGCCCATTAGCTGTTGTCTTAGTTCAAGATTTTGTTTTTGCCAAGTCTCAACAGCGAAAACATAGTGAGAAGATACCAAAAACCAGCCGTCCAAAGCATAAACAGGCAAAAATAGCTAAAGGGTGTTTTTAATTTCTCATCATTTTTTCAGTACAAGGTAAAAATGGGAGTTCCTTCAGGTTTAATTCTTTGTGTTCTGATCGGAGCTTTTTTCATTACAATGGCGGCTGCCGGAGATAGTGGGGCCTACGATTGGGTGATGCCGGCGAGATCTGGTGGGGGATGCAACGGGAGTATTGGAGAGTGCATGGCTGAAGAAGAGGAGTTTGAGCTGGACAGTGAGTCAAACAGGCGCATTTTAGCCACCAAAAAGTACATCAGCTATGGTGCGCTGCAGAAGAACAGTGTACCTTGTTCTCGCCGTGGAGCCTCGTATTACAACTGCAAACCTGGTGCTCAGGCTAATCCTTACTCTCGTGGTTGCAGTGCTATCACTCGTTGCAGGAGTTAAGTTCTGTATTTCTCTTCTTCTTCCACAAAATCCAAAAAAATGTATTTTTCCTGGTAAATTGAATTTTTCTTTTTCCTTTTTTTTTTGAGATGGGGTTGCTTGGTATACGAATGAGGAGAGAAGATGTTGATGGGAATTGATTGTTGTCATAAACTTTTTTATTTTTTTAATTTTTTTTCGGATGATGTTTTTATATACAACTTATAGTAACTGAATTTGTCTGTCAATAATTCAATTCAACATACTCCTAGTATTACAAGTTTTTGTGCCTTTTGTCTCTGTTTGCAAATTCAACCCCCCCCCCCCCCCTAAAACCCACCTACGCACCCAAAAGGGTGTAAACTTCTTGATGTTGATATTGAATGATGAATTATTGGAAATTTGTGAGGTTTGTTTGGACGGGTATGGTAATTTTCGAGATTTGTCATGTTTCAAGATCTGGATTTGAATATTTCAATAATTGGAGGGACTGGTCGATACAGACTGTTGTTTGATTTGGTTATAATTTGTGATAGTAAAAGGGTTTTTGTGTGAACAAAGGAAAGCTGTCTTTGGATCTGTCTCTTTGTGTGAAAATGGAGAGTACTTGAAAAGCTGAACTTGAGAGAATAAAGAATAAGGAAATGACACAAACAAGGGGAAAAGTTTGATGAAGATTTGAATAGATTCTTTGCAGAAAGTGTAGCAAACTTGCAATTTTGAACTTAGCTGGCTCCAAAAGGAATTAAGGAATAAAAATAAGAAAAAGATTCCGTCCATTTTAAATTGTTAAATTCGTTTCTGTTAATTTTTTTTTATTTATGGTTAAAGATGAGATAAATTTTAATTACTTAGAACTAAGAATTATTGTAATATACATGTTAACTTAATTAATTGTCAAGCTTCCTAGCAGCTCCACTATCTAATCCCTTACATATTCGAGAACCCAGAGTTGTTCAGTTGGAATTTTCCTCTAGTTTTTTTGGCTTGATAAAATAGATGGGCTAAGGGTATTTTCCTCAACATGAGCGTTGACATTAATTGCATTATCCATTAAAACCAAGATCGACATGAAAATCCATTTTGTATATTTTCAGTTTTCATCTAAGAGCAGAACTTTTCAAAATATTGAAATAGAAAAACTTAGGCAAAATACCCCTAAACTTGGCATGGGTTATTAATTTCTCGCTACTCCCAATTTCTCATACACCTTAGATAAGGGGTTTTAACTAATGCGGGGGTTTGGTTGGTTGGGGGGGTTGAGGGTGGATGATTAAATTCACATATCCAGGTGTATGGGTAATTTGGACTAGCGATAGTTTGAGAAGAAAAGTAACAAAGTTGCAAAAATCAGCTTATTTTGAGAAGTGTTTACTTTTGGTGAGAAGCAGTTTGTGTTTAGCTAATTAATTTGAAGAACACTTCTGAGCAGCAATTAGTGTTTGGCGAAGCTTTAAAAAACTGTTTCTAAGTGTATTTTTCTCAAAAGTGTTTTTCAAAAAAGTGTTTTTAGAAGCTATTTTTTTCTGCTTCTCCAAAATTGCTTTTGCTTCTCTTCAAAAGCATTTTTTTCCTTCCAGAAGCTTGGCCAAACACCTCAATTTTTGGTCAAAAGTACTTTTGGCATAAAAAAAAAAGCACTTTTGGCCAAACAAAGTATTAGAGTGTCTTAACCCAAAAACTTATATGGGAAAGAAGAAATGATGTTAAAAGGAGTTGTATTGAACATAGTTGCGAGTGTATTTGCCGCATTATTGAAGTTATCATAGCAAAGCTTGTAGGAAATGAGTTTGATGTTGAAGAGACCAACATATGGGAAATGGAAAACGGAAACATGACGAGCAAAATTGAGTCCAGGGCTCACAAATCGATTCACTTTACTTGGAAAATCTGTATTCCCAGTTGTAGGTTTTATGAAAACACTAGCAATTTATTTTAAAATAGAGTAGATAAAGCTTCTATTTTCATTTTTCTAAGAAAAAATTTCGACATTTCAGAAAATCTCCACCGTCAACAATGTTTAATTAAGTATAGCGGAACAATTAGGCAGAAACATAATGAAAGTGTTAGAATTACTATTGTTTACAAGTTCAAGATAAATTTCTCTTAAAAATAGTCAAATTAGTAAAGTGCAAACATAACCACTGTACCTTACTCTTTCGATTTTTTTCAGCTCAAATTTGTGATTTGTCCTTTGGCTTTTCCTGCTACATTTACCAATCTTTTCACTAAGTTTTGGTGGGGGAGGGTATCAAAGTGTAACATTATTATTGTACTTAAAGTGATCTTTAAAATCTTCCACATAAGGTGTGAGTAGGTCTGATATTGCCATTTCAAGATAAAGAAGCTTTTTTTTTTTTAATGAAAAAATAAACACCAAATGGTGAGTGGGTTTTGGTGGCTTTGCCTCTTCTCTTTTGATTTTATGTTTAAAGTCTTCACATGCTGACCATGGACTCAATGATTTTACTCAAAAACATACAGCAAAAGTATATCATATAAATATAGATTTGATTTGTCTTTCCATTATTTGAAGCTTGTTGGTGGTTAATGATGGGTCCATTTCAACCCCCGTTTTATTCATTCTAATTATTTTGAACAAATATCTTTTCCCACTTAGATTGCTTTTATTTTCACTAAAGGACCCATGCATATAATTTACCATGGTTAAATGATTGAAATCCGTATGCAGACACATGTCATGTATCTATTGGTTTGGTATAAACACCCGGTGAGGGTAAGTTTTTACCTATTTATGTCCATGACATTGCTTTTAGCAAATTAATCTTTGATATTTTGTAACTGGATTTTTGTCTTTTCATCTTCTTTCGCTCATTACCTATTTTCCCATGATAGTTTACGAAAATTAAAATGATAAAATTGTACAAATGACAAGAAAAAACCATACAATCAAAAGGTAATTACGGTTCGAACCCGGATTCCCTAAATGATGGAGAATTGCCAGTGCTACAGCGGAATCTTTGTGTTGTTGGAACAGAATTGCTCGCATTTATAGACTGCGTATTATAAATCCGATTGCATCTTATAAATCGCAGTCGCTGATTACGCCTTTTACTCATCAATTGGCATTTGTGGCATAGGATAACGTTAGGTTAAATTATGTCGGCTAATTTTCGTCCACTCATTTCGCATTTTTACCATGATAAGATTGTACAAATGAAAAGCAGATCAACGTGGGTCAGGCTAGCCCGGCCCGGCCCACATGGGCTTTAGTAATTGACGGGCTGGGCTGGGCTAGGCTGGGTTAGTCCATCATTTTGACGGGTCTTATAATGGTCAACTCACCCCGTCTATGTGGGTCACGGGCCGGTCCATCATTTTTAAAAATATAATTTTATATTTTTTCTTTAAGTTCTGACCTAAAAAAAGATAATTATTTAAAAGTTAAAAAATATCTTATTGGAAAAAATTCGCAAAACTTAATAACTTTTTATATTGTTCCAATATATCACAATAAATACTAAAAAAATAAAAGACAGGACTATATTTCATTCACTAAAAGTCAAAACTTAAAACAAACTATTCAAAAGAACGTTCATGATGCTTATGAGATATCCAACACACCATCTTCATCAAACACATTTGAATCCGCTTGTGACAAGGTTGTCTTAACATCTTCACTTTCATCTACAATTCATATGCAATATTAATTAGTTAAATTTTAAAAATTAATAATATTTAAATTCACATAAAAACAATATTACCAATTTGAGTTCGGAAAAACCTATGCAGCCAATTTCAAGTAGTAACAAGTGTTTGGACATTTTCATAATATATGCAACTTCTGTACTTTGTAAGAACACGCCACCAATGTTAAATGGTGATTCCGATGGTACAATGGTAATAAGAATGCTAAGTACATCACGCACCATTATTGAAAGATCGGGATATTTTCTAGAATAGTCCTTCCAATACATGACAACATCATCTCTTGAAACTTCTCAAGATCAAGTTTTGGTTCCTTTTAGTAAAGATCCAATTCTGATTTTTCATCTCTAAAGGCAGTATACTTTTTATTTTTTATATATATTAAATAAATATTTATTAGGCCCACGGGCCGGGCCAGGCCAGCATCAGTCAAGTCTCACGGGCCACAGGTTTATTCGGGTCGGGCTTAAAAGTCTTATTTTTTAAACGGGCTTCAAAAATTCGAGTCCAACCCTGCTAAATCACGGGCTAGGCTGGGTTGGTCCAACGGATCAAGCCCATATTGACGACTCTAATGAAAAGTAAAAACTATACAATCAAAACGTTCTTCGCGAATACGGATTCCTTAATAATGGGGAATTGCCAGTGCTACAGCGGACCTCGTTTGCTTAAAGTTGGAACAGTGTATAATTAAGTGTTATTTGTGACATAGGACAACTTTTAAATTAAATATAACCTCCAAGTTTTTTTCCATCTCGCAAACTTAGAAAGTTATCCATGGTGCATGTTTCTCCTCTTTTCTTTCTTTATATTTTTCTCCACGTTGTTTTTCTTCAGATTTCTTGCTTATTTTTATTAAATAATTTTCCCATAAGAACTTTTGTCTTACAACTTAGATTAATAAAACCCAAACCATTCAATCTATTAGAGTTACAAATAGGCTTTTCATTAGTCGATATACATTTGATAAAATTTACTAAACCCCCTTGACATTTAATGGTTGGAAAAAAAAATTATCCCTTCATCTTTTAAATTCAAATAAAACATGATTAACTTCCGGTGATATTTTCAACCGAGCATCAAAACGGTCAATGAGGTACATAATACCTTAGTTTCCATCTATGAACTTCAGAACTGGACTCAAAAGAATTTTTATCCCCACAAAAACCTGGCCAAACACAAATCATTGTTCTAACTGGCAAAAGTATATATCAAATTAGGTAGCCAAAACACAAATTCTTTTTTCTTGACACGCATTTTTGACAAAAAATAATTTTTCTAAATAAGCAGATTTAGAAAATTTCACAAAACATGCTATAAAGTGAGGGATAAAAAGAGGGAAAGACAACATGATCGAGGCTAGATTGAAAATAAAAAAGCGAAGGACAGTATCCATGGAATTTGAACAAAGAGGCGACATGACTTATTATTGCTCATGGAATCAGAATTATCGTATTTTTCTTATTAAAAAAAACTCTAATCGAAAAATAGTATTCAAGGGGTTACCAATCTCATTCTAAAGATGGAGTATTGTTTCACACTCACAAAAGTTAAGAAAATTTCTCTATGGGTCAAAATATATCTCTAGAATACAAGTTAGAATGACGTTGGTAAAA